CAAAGCTTCACTTACTATGGACTCATTTTCTCTTGAGTACTGGCACATTACTCACTGTATTTAAGTGTTTGCCAGTTGAGAGAGAAATAATACTGACAAGTGAAATTACATAGCAGTTAAGATAACTCTGAAAAAAGCGTTAGAGGAAAAAGTTGGGGCAGGGAAGAATTACACTTGTGGTTTTTCCTTTTGATGGTAAAGCATTATTTTTTAAAATCCGACTCATTTTCTCTTGAGTACTGGCACATTACTCACTGTATTTAAGTGTTTGCCAGTTGAGAGAGAAATAATACTGACAAGTGAAATTACATAGCAGTTAAGATAACTCTGAAAAAAGCGTTAGAGGAAAAAGTTGGGGCAGGGAAGAATTACACTTGTGGTTTTTCCTTTTGATGGTAAAGCATTATTTTTTAAAATCCGTTATAATTTTAAAAGGAAAAATTAGAAATTTTAAAAGCCCAAGCTTCTTTTTATTTTCAGTCCCAGCCAACAGGATCAAATAACTTAACAAACACCAACCTCTTTCTGTCTTATGGATGCAGTGATACACCTTGATACCACGTGCATTGGTGTTGGTGGACTTGAACTTACTTTTCCTGTGTTACAGAATAAAGCAATTTTTCTGCCATACTCCATTGCATAGCACAGTCCCATGGCTACCCCAAAGGGTGACAGTCCCTCAGGCTAGTCAATCCCAAATTTCTCATTTGAGAATGCAAACTTGCCATATCTATTTTGGCAGTGGGATTTGACCAGTAAACACTTCTCTTTCATATTGAGTCAATTGCCTGATAGACCCAGTAAGCAAAACTCTCTCTTACATTATCTTTAGCTCATAAAGATCAAGTGATAATTGCCTGGGTTTTCCTCCTAGCACTGTTCCCATATGCTGTATTCACTTTGGGATGTATTCATACCTTACACAACAGCATCTAATGTGGATATAAATGTCTTTTATGATGTCTTTCTTTCAGAGGCTGATGAAGTGATTCATATTTCCTGCTATCCAAAGCAGCCAGCTTCTGTTTTTATGCAGTCAGTGGTAAAGAATAGGGGTTGTATTCAGACCATCTGCCATAGATGCCTACTGGAGGCATGATGACTCCTTCTCCCATTGACTGTGCAAATTGGCAGCTCTCAGTAGTATGTGGTCTGAATCATTCAGCAGCCTCTTGAATTTAAATACCATAGTAACCACTAAGCCTGTCTTAAGCACCACTGTAATTTAAGAAATCTACTAGTAAAAATGCATGTGTCTGATATTTTATCATTTTCCCCGGTGTCATTAATAGAATGAAGGGATTGCTTCACCCCTTTACCACACAGAGCCACTACAATATTAATTCAGATTGTCTGATTTTGAATCAATAAAGCCATAACAAAGTTAACGCAGCACCAAAAGGAAATGGCTTTAATTTCCAACACAGCCATTTCTCCATGGACACATTAGCCTGTATACAAGATTCCATACAGGCAGTGCACACAGAATACAGAGATTCCATCAAAATGTTCAAGATAACAAAGGAGCTAGGAGCAATTAATTTAATGATAGATCAGTCGTGGGCTGACTAACAAAGGAATTCCTAGGAATGTACATTTGACACCCACATTTATGCAGATTACTTAATGCCATAAGTGCCACTGATGACATTAGTGCCAAGATGAATGTTAACTTTATCCCACTTCACAAAGAATGAGAATTTTAACCAGATCACTCCAATCATTGCATAGGTGTCCTGGATGATGAAGGGTACTGAAAGTCTGTCTCCTTGATTTGTCCTAGCAAATGAAAGCCATCATGTACATGCTGCTGTTCCACGGGTTTCCATAGGAACTGCTTCTTCACCCAGCATTTTGTTTCCCAGTACTTTTCTCCTGCTGACATTTCACCAGCACACATCCTCAGGATTTCCATTGGCTTCAAATTATATTAGTGTCTCTTTAGATCTTCCTTGTTCAGTCAGGCCCTAAGATTCAGTGTGTCTGATCTGTTTTGTTTAGGTGACTCCTGTTTTGGGAGGGACCTTCAGCTAATGCAATCTGAACTGATTTTAATAAAACAATGAATACATTATTAGTGTCTTCAGGTTCCTCCAAAAAGAATTAAAAATTAACTTGTCTTTAACTTCTTCTTAGTTTGTTTGTGCAGATGCTGGAACAAAACTGGCTGAGTCAACAATCTTGCATAAACAGATGATTGCTTCGATGCCTGGAGTAAGTACTGAATCAAAGTCCATCTCTTAGTTCTGTTTTTTAAAACAAAATATCTTATTCAACTGGTTTTGCTTCATTTTAATGCCCTTTCCTTTTCATGTCTCCTCTGGTTGGCAAGATGTGTTACAGGCAGAGGTTGAGATGCTTCTTCCATTTTACCAATGTTAGAAAAGTTCTGGTCTTGATGTTGCTTCCTTTACTCTCACTGATATCTTGAGTCATCTAACTAACTTTAGGTGGAGCCTGTACTCAAAAAGACAAATCAAGATCTTCCACAGTTCTGTGTGGTGAACAGACCAGCTGAATGCCTAAAAAAACCGGTAGCAGGTTGGAAAGCTACGAGCTGCTGATGAGTGTAGCTAAATTACAAGTACACCTAATTGTCTAGGCACAGAGGTTTGCACCTGGTGAATATGAAAGGAAGTAGTACAATGGGAGGTCTTGACTTGTTCCATGACACGTGGCTGGGTACCCAAACAGATGGAAGAGGGTTAGCTCACATTTTCTTCACAAGCTGAGTGAGGAAAACTTGGTTCCCTATATGTGTGTCAGCTTTAGGGCTGACGAAATAGGATCTTTCCCATCTCTTTTCTGAAGTGTGTGATTTTTTAAATGTCAGTCTGTGATAAAAACTTTTCTCCCAACAGAAGATTTTAATTTGTACTTGCTTTAAATAGATAGACTAACATGGCTGTTACAAGGTGTAACTGCAGTAGGTGATAGGAACATGATCACTTCAGAAGACATCATAGAGAATAAGGCTCCCTGCTGATCAAGTGAAACAGCATAGATGGTTGGAGAGAAGTCTTGTGCAACAGAGCATTATTTTCAGAGATCAGAGTGCAAATAGATGGAGAGAAGTCTTGTGCAACTGAGCATTATTTTCAGAGATCAGAGTGCAGTATCGTTTATAATTCTATTATTCATTATTCTAGAACCTATGTGGAATCCTTAGTCCACATAAACTGGATAATTTATAATTGTATTATTCATTATTCTAGAACCTATATGGAATCCTTAGTCCACATAAACTGGATGGAGGATATGCTGACAGGGCTCCCAATGACCTTGTTTCACTGTTTTTTTCCTGTCATGGGAACTGACAGGAACAACATTTGAAAAGCCAGAAGGTGGCATAGTTCAACACTGTGTAGATTCATATTTACATACAAAAATCAGGAGTGCCCTGGTCAGTCGTTTAAAAATAGAATGCAGTTCTTCAAATTTCAGCCACTAAAACTCAATTTATGGCTTCATAATTTTGTGATTAAAACTAAATCTAGTTCATTTGTGTACTCAGATAGGGTAATCAAAGTGTAGGTGTGCTTCAAAGTGTAGGTAGTTACATAGAGGTCAAAGAAGAGTAGTTTTTTTCTCTAAACTTTACTGCAATGTTTTGCCCTGAGCCTATGACTTCAGATAAAGTAGTTTTTGGTAGCTTCAAACAGATATCTAGTTTAATAATTTCATAATTTAGTCTCTAAAGTTAAGCATTGCTCTTACTTAGCCCCTGAGAATGAGGCATTCGTCGTTCCCCTTGAATTCAGCTGGTCTTATCTTCACCTCAGACTATTAACATGTAAGCAGAAGTTTATATGATAACTAATGGGTTGGTTGTATCACCTTCTGAAAACTTCTCTCCAGGGTTCTCTGGGCTGTTCAAAGCCTTTATTTAATCTGACAGCTTTGTTCTGTTGACTGCTTTGTGCACCTTGGGCATATCTTGTACTAGCCAAAGGCCAGATTCACATTTCTCACTATGTTCTAGGAAAAGGATTATGAAAATTTGTACTGTGGGAATTCAGCAAATACCACTTTGAATCCTTTTGTTTTCCCTTTGAGGTTGCTCTTGCTCTAGCACAGGTTGCTTCTCAGTGCTTATACCTTTATGATCTAACGGGAGCAGTTCATAGCTTAAATGCCATTAGTATTTTGAATGATTTTGCTTCAGGAATATACCAGAACTATTTGTTAGCTAAAAAAAAATTAAAAAACGAATACATTTCAGTGGTGTTCATTTTAGTGATGTTTGCACATAAAATACCCAAAGCCAGTCATTTAAACTGTTTTTCCATCATATGAGTATAAGGGCATCTGTGCCTGTGACTGAATTTTGTTTCCTGTGATTGCAGCTGATTTGGTTCCAACTGCAGAAATGTTCAGCTGCTTGAAGTACCGAGTTGTTCAATTCTCATCAGGTTTTTAAGACTTTGAATCTGGACCACTGTAAATTTCAGTATGACATGACAGGGATATTCTTGAAAGTTTCATCAGTTAAATCTTTAACTGCTGTCACAGATAAGAGTATTCTATGATGCATGAAGAAGCTACAGTGACTGGGCTATCTTCTTATACTATCATCAGATAAGAGTACATGTTCTTCTCACTGTAACATCAAAGAATACCTACTCCTAATTAATCAAACTAAAAAGTAAAACAAAGAATTTTAGTCAGACAACTTGTCTTCTGTTGAAGAAGAAAAAAAGACAAAAGCTTGAACATTCAAAGCCTGGTACTTAAACTTCTTTCTGTTATGTTCTAGTGTGGAACAGCAGCAATGGAATGCATGAGGCAATATGTTGGGGAAGTGCTGGATTTCATTGCAGACATGCATACCTTAACCAAATTAAAGGTTGGTTCTGATCACACATTGATCTAAAGTGTATGTGCTTTCCTAACAAAAATGTAGGCTCTGTAAGGAACCTGTCTGGGAGAAACAGTAGGAAGTATTTGAGGATGACTGACAGGTTTTTTTCCTTTCTTTTTTAAAAAGAAATTAAAATCTAAGTACTGTTATAGATTAGACACTTCTGGGGGATCAGTAAAAAGTAGCTTATGCAGTGTTGAAATGGAGGCTGATTCAAAGACAGTGAGCACACAATAAAAATGTGGGCTTGATTTTTCTGAAATGTTGATGATAAGCTAATGATAAGGTTTTCTGAAATGTTGGTGGTAAGCTAATGTCATACCAAAGTCACTGTGAACAGTTGTGTTTAATATAACCCATGGAAATATAAAGCTCCTTGCATGTACAACTAAGGACACTCTTCTGGAGGAATCCTGTTTCTTATATACACAGACACTTAAATTAACTGGAAGTTCAGAGATTATTAAAATACAGTAATTGACCTCAAAAAGGGAGTGTCCTTTTTCTAGTAAATGTTGTCATTTTCATTGTCAGGTTATATTCTGTTAAGGTGGGGAAAACCAAATATTTCTTACCTCTGATGTCCAAACTGTTTTTAGGTTTTGTATTTTAGTTGGATGCCAAATTGTAAGAGGAGTGATAGGAAAATACTTCAGTCTACATAACATATTTTATTTAGAATGCATTTCATGAAAACTTCCTAGTAGTAATTAGCTGATAAAAACCTATAATTTCAGTTTTGTGGAAGAAGCCTGTATCTATTAAATTTCCTACAGAATGGAGATTCTTTATGATGTTTTAAAAAAGGAATAGCCTAAGTAACATTGCTGCTTTATAGTAGGAAATAATAAATGTGTAGCTGTTTCAGTTGCTAGCAACATATCATCCATTGTTAATAGCTTCTGTAAAGAATAAATTAATATTTCACAGAATCACAGAAGAAGGCAAGACAGTATTGGAGTTTATGTGAAGCAATGAGAGGAGAACTTTCACCCTACTGATTTCTCACACACTCACTTGCTCACTGTCCTCCTGCCACCTCCACCCCACCTCATGCCCCAGAGGGGACACCTTATTGCAAGTTAATAATAACTTACCACAAAGGAAGGAGAATCCCAACTAAACTGGAACTCATGTCTTGAAACTCCTGTCACTGTATTTTACTGGATAAAATATCCCTTTTGTTACGTTCTTACCCCGTTGGCCATGAATACCTTTGAATTTTAAAAAATTACTCTAAAGGAATAAGCCTATTCTGCTGGAGTCGAAATTTTCTTCAAAGCACAAAGCAATTAATCATTTTAAGTTGAATTGGATTGCCTTCCCACTCTATCTTCTTAAGTTATTCACCCGTTTCTCTTACAGTTCAGAACTGCTTTCAGAATAGGTAGGCAAATGAATCACAAATGAGGAAAGAGTTACATCTGGTTTTCCAGTTTCACAGAAGAAAACCATGAACTTATCTGAAACTAGGAATGGGGACAATTCGTTTATAAATACTTGCAGGTATCCTCTCCCCTGTGTAAAATGTTTCTGTAGAAAACTCCCTGCCATTTGCACTTTTTCCTTCTGCCCATCTCCCTTGAACTGTAGTCTGATCTTTAGTAATGCTCTTACCATACTGAAGTCTGATAAGATGGTGATTTAATTTGCTCAGTGGGACTATTTATTTTTTACATTTATGTATATGGATATGGTTAGTGAACTAAAACCTTTACCCAGTTCTTCACTTTTATGTTTTGAAGTTGGACAGGAAACTTCCCAAATGTGCTGTCCAGTCTTTTAAAACTATATCAGAACCAAATGGCCCAAACATTCATGTTGTTTTGATTTAGCCACATAATACAAGAATCTGAGAACAAGATTAGCACAATACAAAAGTCAAATATGACCATAATTTTATGTATTGTAAAGAATAAGCTTTGTCTGTCTTTGGGAAATGAAAAGGCAGTTCTTATTTAACCAATAAAACTTACTCTGTGGTTCCAGCGCAGTTGGGAAAATATTTGTGAGCACTTCTAAGTTCACAAATAAGTGAGAACTTAAAACAAATTCACAACGTCTGGTTTCAAGTTCTTGTAAGCTCATTTAAAATACTTGCATAATTGCTTGGCTTTTATTAACAGAGGTGTTACTCACTAGGAAATGAGTTCTAAAATCATCCAGTTGTGTGGTTTCTTACTACAAGTATGTATTATCAACAGCATCTGGAGTACCAAACTAACAAAAGACACTATATGATTTATATGACCAGTAACAATCCCCACAACAAAATCCCACAGCAAAAGTTTAATCTTGGTTTTCAAACTTGGAGATTTCTAGTCTCTGTAGGAATTCAGTGAACAGAAATAATGTAAGTTGTTTATTCATATCCAATGTCTTCTTTTGCATGTCTGAGAATAGTTTCTTTGAAAGAGGTTAATTATTTTAAGTCTGTGTATTAGCAACTACTGCATTATAAAAAAGTTATAAATGTTAATTCTCAAGATAATCACATTTAAGTTTATTGTTTCTGTTCAATTATTATGTTTATTTTCCCTTTGGGGTAACATTTTGGATTGATAAAGGTTGGCAATGTTTTATTTAGAAAATTTCACCGTTTTTGTAGATCTGCCTGAACACCTGTCTATCCTTCTTACCTGGTTGTATAACAAAGTCATTAGATATTCATGCTAGTACATAAGGTTTTTTCTTTTGAAAGAGACTTCAAGTAAATGATTTCTGATAGTGTAAGTTTCTGGGGTCGGATACTTATCTTTGACAACAATATTATTGGTTCACTGATTTTTATCCTGTTATAATAATTGAATAACTGATGACCTGGATTTTCTTGTGCAAAGCATATGGCTCTCCTTTTAAGCAAGCAAATGCAGTCAGTGTGTGTTCTGGTATAGTCTAGTAGCAGAAGGTAATGCAAAGTTAGAAATTAGAAATACAGAAGTATCTTAAGATGCACCAATAAAACATTCTTTAAAGCTAACAAAGCAGGATAATAAATTATGTTTCCAGGCATAAATATTGACATGTTTTGTGGTAAAAGGTTTGGCCCTTTTTATTTCCAAGGCTTGAAGGTATTTGTAACAGCTGAATAGTGCAATATATTAATTGAATATATTGCTGGTGAATAAGTGAGAGCTTCTATATGAACATGTAAAGGGAATACTGCACAGGGAAGGCATTTCCTGCCCAGATGCTATCTTGTTAAATAGTTGGATTCTTTCATCTTCACTTAAGCTCTCTGGATGTTCAGGCATCAGTTTGGATTTATCAGAGCTGTTGAATTTGCTGATACAAAAGCTTCTGTACATTTTGCACAATGTATATTTTGAGTGTGCTCTGGAAAATGTGCCCCTCTGTGGAAAGATTTGCATCATGAAGCTGTTACTAATCTAGGGACTGGAGATTTTTTTTAAATCTGTATCTTGAGTTTTCTTTTGTAGACACAGTCAGAGATCCTTAGGAAAAGACTGAAGGGAAATGAAATAGAATGTGCTGCTGCTTAGATGAACTTAGTTGAAGCTGAATACTCTCTTGGGGTGCAAATTCAGATCTTTGCCTTGCAGAGTCACATGAAGACTTGTTCTCAGCCACTTCATGAAGACACATTTGGTGGACATCTGAAAGTTGGTTTAGCTCAGATTGCTGCTATGGAAATCACCCGGGGAAACCACAGAGACAACAAAGCTGTGATCCGATATTTGCCTTGGCTTTACCATCCTCCTTCTGCAATGCAGCAAGGGTGAGAATGCTTCTCCACAAAAAGGAACACGAAAATGAGTTAGAATTACAAAATTCTGTATTTACTGCCAGATTCCATAGCTGGTCAGCAGCTCCCTGATCCTTAACTGAGGAGCTCATCAATGCAGTGTTTAAAGCACATGCCAAAGGGACAGTGTTGGTAACTCCAATGGCTTGGCTGGAGTTACCCAGGAAATTAACCTGATTCTTGATCTAGATACAGACAGTGAAAAACACACAGGCATTTGATCAGACTTCGAATTATCGAAAATATGTTGGGAATTATAGACATACAACGGGAAATGGCCTTTGAAATTATGGAGTACAAATGAGTGAGAACTCCAGGTATAAGCCTATCGATCTGATGATAAAAATACTGACTCCGTCTGGTTAAGACATTTTTTTTGTCCCTTTTCTCTGTGAGAAATGCTGATGTGTAGTGTTTTACCTTCTAAAAGAAGGGAGATACTGTCCCTCGTCTTAGAATGACAACAGATAAGATGTTTTGAGTGTAAACTATTGGAGTGTTTCAACAAACCTGTATTCTTGTCCCAGCTTCGGCCCAGACTACCTGCCCAAGATTCTGAGGACTAAGCTGCTTAGGCTGTCCTGTAGATATGTCTGCATCTACTTTTATGTAGAGCATATCTGCTTTTGGGAATATGGAGTTCCCAATTCAAGGAATTCAATTTCTTACATGTAAGAAAGGAACATACGTCCTGAAATGAAGTAGTGAATCCCTTTAAGATCCTGTAGATACTTGAGGCAGAGCATGGTATAAGAGATTATTTAAAAACAAAAATTAATGGAATGCCTTGTAGGTGATATGAGTCCTTGACAAATTAGAAACTGAAACCAGCAGTGAGAGTGGCCTAGTAAGGAGTGATGTATTGATTGAAAACCAATTATTTTTCCCTGTGCCTGTGAATTCAAATTAGTGTTTAGTCTGAACTTGGAAGCAGCAAGGGGACAGACAAGATGACACCAGGAAAGTGCTATTCCTTTTTAGATTATATAAGCACATTGCTTTGTAGTTAGACATTGCACTAGATGGTGGATGAATACTTAAGCATCACAAAAAAACATAGTCCCTGCCCTCAAAATTGCACAGTCCAAACACCCAAGAAGAGGCTAAAGAAAAGAGAAATTAACTCCACTTTACCAATGGAGAAGTGGAACACATTGGAGGTAAGGCAGTTGTGTGCTGTCCAGGGGAGATGAGAGCAGCATTTCCACTTGGGCAATCCTTCCCATACAGTGATATCTGTGTAAAAAAATCACAGAACCAATGAATCTGTGAATGTTTTAGCCTTTTATAGAGGCTGTTTCTTAGACCCATCAAGTATGTTCTACTGCACTTGTTAACAGTGTTAATGTCCACTGAGTTCTGTGTGGTTCCAGCCTTCCCACAAGCTGAGCCAGTGATCTGTGCCTCCAGCACACTGCAACTGCATCTGCCTAATGTGCATAAGGAGACTCCATATTTTGGGGCAAGACAGAAAACTTAGCATCATTGTAAAATCTGCTTTTTCTTGACAGGCCAAAAGAGTTCATAGAATGTGTCTCACACATTCGTTTGCTGTCCTGGCTACTTCTGGGGTCTCTGACACACAATGTTGTCTGTCCAAATTCTCCATCATCCTGCATGCCTATTCCACTGGATGCAGGTTCACAAATAGCTGACCACCTTATTGTTATTCTGATTGGGTTTCCTGAGCAATCCAAGGTAAGGGATTTTTTTTTTTCAGTGGAGGTGTGTTATGTATTGGCATTATTACAAATGGGTTTTTTTTGTAAGAAAAAATGATTGGTAAAACCTTAATAAA